ATTAACCGTCCATATTAACAATATTCGGTGGTTTTAACATTTATGTAATGCTGATATATTTATTGTTGTACTGCGCTTTATTGCATAGTGTGGTTTTATTCTCTTACATATGTCTTGTTTATAATGTCCGAGTCTTCAACACTACAAATAATGGAGACTTCGGGGATTTAATCGCAACAGCAGTCTATTATTTCAGAATTAAAATTGTTGTCTTTTACAGAAAAAGGCATGTTCGAAAAATAAGACATATAAAATTGACATGCGATACATATATATGAGCCATGTCCATTATAACATAACTATTTTTTTAAACATTTCGTGTAATGAAATGTTTATCTATGTTTATCTTTTATATAAAGGAAGATACAAAAAATTGTGAAAGAGCTATTTGACATAATAATGATGCTGAGAGACGAAAAATATCCGTAAACGAGGAGACATTGGTGTGATTAGAATTTGGCAGCAATGCATAATGCCGGAATTTAATTCAGCCTTGCCCATACAGATTATTTTCTTCGCTATTATTACATATCATTACTTATATATTAAGAAACAAGATGATATAATCATGACATGCATTTTGCATGTTGTTGTGGAGGTAATATTCCAAGACATGCCATACAATAGTGAAAACATAGTATTATGTAAATACATTTTAACACTAGTTATTTTCTACTTTCTGGGCTAATAAATGATTTTGATATAATGGGCCCCTAATTGAAAATTAATTATTTATACCGATACTCTATGTTATTTCAAATTATTATTTGACACTTCATTTTCATCCATTATGCAACGTAAAACAATTATATTTAAAAAATATATTTCGCTATGCGTCAATAAGTTAATATACTGCGGGTTTTTGTTGTTGATTGTGTGTGTGTGTGTGCGCGCGTGCGCGTGCGTGTGCGTGTGCGTGTTCGTGCGCGCGCGTGCACGCGTGTGTAACATCAGATATCACACACTTTATTTCTGTAGGCCTTATCATTATGTCAAGGCTAGCCGCTATTTAGTTAGAATATTTGTATAGGCTAGCAAATGTTTTAGATTTTAAGACTAGAAAATATTTATGCTCAGCACTAATACAGTGTCACTTGGATTATGAAAGTTCTTCTTGGTACCCGAGCCTGAACAAATGTTTTAAAAATTAGAACGGTTAGGAACTAATAATTAATATTTCTAGTTGTCTACATATTGGTCTTCATTTTTTTTCTATCAATAAAGTAAAAGTAATATTAAAATTAACATACTGTACAGTTTATTATCTATATGACAACTTCTAGTTTCCAAAGTTGTTCATGTTTTTGTTGTTTTCTATTGTTTATTTAGTTTTTTTTAAGTTGTATTGTATATTGTTGCATTGGATATATATCCCAGTTTGCATATTTTCAATACAAAACATGAGACAAATACATTTATTATAATAAATAATAATACACAATCGCGTGAACATGTGATGCATATATTCGATGTTAAAATGATTGTAGGCGTATAAATAATGACCCAATGTAATACAAAGAAAACGAAAAAGAAAAAAAACAAAACAAAAAATGACACGAAAAAGAAAGAAAAAAGATAAAAAGAAAGAAAGATAAGAACTTTTTAATCTGTCAAAATGTGTATTGATTTGATGATTTAATAATCTATTTTTGTCAATTATCTAATTGATGTGATTTTTGATTGGTTAGTTTCAGCTGTCAGTGACACGCGTTTTGTGTAAATATCAGTGTTACTGGGTCAAACAAATGAGCCGCGTCATGACAAAACCAACATAATGGGTTTGCGACCAGCATGGATCCAGACCAGCCTGCGCTTACAAACCCAATTTCAAGTAGAGAAACTGATAGCGAACAGCAGAGATCCTGATCAGACTGCGCGGAAACGCAGGCTGGTCTGGATCCATGCTGGTTTCAAACCCACTATGTTGGTTTCGTCATGACGCGGCTCAAATTGTGCATTGAAATTGCAAGAAAATCATATGAGGAATGTGGTGTTAATTCTATTTTGTTAATTATTTCTTGTAAATTAATTACGTGATAAGAAGAGAGGATTCTAAGTTTTCAATTTGTGATGACATTAACAGACTTTTCCGTCAACGTTTAGTGGTAAGTGGCTATATTATCATTTTTCTAATTTCACCTTTTAATATTCATGCTTCCAGGTTGATTTTACCGTCTAGTAATCTTGCCACTCTGGAAATTTCCTTTCGTTTGGTTTTTGTTATTGCCTAGTCTATAAATTTTCACCAAAAGTGCACTTTAATTTTTTGTAAACAATATTAGTAAGGTAAAAAAATATTCTGTGTCAATAATTTTTAATTTGATTCCGACAACCTAAATTATTTTCGACAGCATGGAACCAGCCACCTGACTATTTCCGCGCATTTCTGTCATGATCAATGCAGTTCCTTTACGCTCATTACAATAGAGAAAACTGATAGTCAACAGCATGATTGAACAGTACAGCCGGATAAAAGCTGTACTTATCCTTGTTTGGTTGCAAATAAAGTTGGTTGTTTTCTCGATTCGCGGCCATTTGTAGCAAATCAAAGACCTCCGGCCGCTTTTTCAAATTTTTTTATACTTTGAATAAAAAATCTAGGGAGATGATTTATTTTATGTTAATATGTGGTTATGTAATGTCTGAATAGTTAATCTGTAAATTAATTTACGATGAATTACCATTTGAAGCTGATAGTACTATTTTTTAGGTTTCCCAGAGCTTATATTTAGTTTTTAACTTGAACAGTTAATAACAACCCTTTTTAATTTTGACAATTTTGATTCATAAAGTTTATAGTATTAGTTTCATTAATGGATCACAAAATTAATATTTATAGTACTACTGGGACAATCATACTTTAAAACAAGCTACCGTTACGTCATTCATAATACATGCGCAAGATCACCGGACAATTGAATGTTGGGATTAAACATGGTGGTAAGTGTTTACATTGTTGCAATTCTGCAGTTAATTGAGTTATTTCCAAAAAATATTTGCGTCATTATATGTCTTTAAGATTTTTGCAAATAGGAAAATAATTTTGATTTTTTTGTATTTATTTGAATTGTAGTAAGTAAGCCGATAAGTGTTTAGGTGCGCAAGATTACCGGACAGCATCGTAATAATATGCATGCTTCACATTAGAGTTACGATTTTTTAACCTTCTAGTAAGTATATGTCCATGGGCTCTACTGGAAATATGCCTTCGGGTTTTTTACGGTTATTGCACACTACAGTACTTTATACATACTTTTACCAACACAGTCACATTCTCAATATTTTGTAAATCAATATTTAGTCAAGCGAAAAAGAGATATTGGGCATTTGGTCTTGTCTTAATTGTAATTTGAGCCGCGTCACGACAAAACCAACATAATGGGTTTGCGACCAGCATGGATCCAGACCAGCCTGCGCATCCGCGCAGTCTGATCAGGATCCATGCTGTTCGCTTTCCAACCCTATTACAAGTAGAGAAACTGATAGCGAACAGCATGGATCCTGATCAGACAGCGCGGATGCGCAGGCTGGTCTGGATCCATGCTGGTCGCAAACCCATTACGTTGGTTTTGTCGTGACGCGGCTCATTTGTAGCTATATATCATTTAACGAGCCTCCTAAGATTGCTTGACAGACTATTTCATTACAATTTTGTTTTAATACCTTTTTTATATAAAAATACATAAGTGTATGATGATTTAGTTTTTATAGCTCTAGCATCATTTTGAATTATATAGTAAATGTCTTGAATAGATAAATATGTAAATACTACATTTATTCGGATAATTACCATTTCGGACAGCCTCGATGAGTACTATTTTTTTTGGTTCCCAGAAGCTTATTATTTTAAAGTTTTTACACTTTTTGAAGGGGTACTCATTGGCTCTATAGCTGAACCCTTTTTTCCATTTGCATTTTGATAATCCATGAAGTTACAGTTATAAGATATTCTTGAATGGAAGACAAAATACCACCTTGTTTACATCTAGATGCTATCAGGACAAATTGTTTCAGATTCAACGCTGTTTTCTAAAGCACGAAAAGCATCTACTTGATATATAGTATGTTATAGCAACATAGGTATGTGACAGAAATGCATCTTCGGATACCCACGGTTGATAAACATGTAACATAACAAGTGCATACTTTTGAAAAATTGATGTAGATATCATTTGATAGTAGCATTGATTTTCAAACAGACGTGTAATATTTTACACAGTAGGAGAAGTTAATGATATTTTTTACTTGAAATGTTGCTAGCCGAAAAAATTATTACACTTAGTCAATTTTGCTTAAAACCCCTTATGTTGCTTTAAATATATAGAAATGACCTGAATGTTTTGCCAACAACCCAGTATCTTTCGAATGGGGTTTTAGAATTAAGAACATGTATGCGTTTATTTATTATGAAAGATTTTAGCTTTAAAATTGTATGCACAGAAATAAAATTTGGTATATATGTATAAAATTCTGGAAACAAAGTGATCCCTCGGAAGCATAAATCACAACAAAATAACATAAGAATTGCAGACTCGGTTTGATTGAGTCTGTAAATGAGAGATAATGAATAAGTGCAACATCCCTCACGCCCCCTAGCACCGGCTTGAGCGGTACTCAATTCTCAACACTTAATAGTGCTGGCATCAATGATCCCGAAGGACCAGAAAATATAACAACACTGAAGTGAAGTACGGGGCAACTTTTTACAGCTGCCACACAGAACTTGACACCTGCTGTTGTGAAGTACAACATTCTGGAAACAAAGTGATCCCTCGGAAGCATTAATCACAACAAAATTACATAAGAATTGCAGACTCGGTTTGATTGAGTCTGTACATGAGAGATAATGAATAAGTGCAACATCCCTCACGCCCCTAGCACCGGCTTGAGCGGTACTCAATTCTCAACACTTAATAGTCCTAGCATCAATGATCCCGAAGGACCAGAAAATATAACAACACTGAAGTGAAGTACGGGGCAACCTTTTACAGCTGCCACACAGCACTTGACACCTGCTGTTGTGAAGTACAAAATTCTGGAAACAAAGTGATCCCTCGGAAGCATTAATCACAACAAAATTACATAAAAATTGCAGACTTGGTTTGATTGAGTCATACAGATTCCTAAATTCACTGAAAATTTTAGCTTTATACGGTTTATCATTAAAAGATTATTACAGTTCAAACTTTCGAATGCGATTTTCTAAAAATGACAAAAAATGACATACGGGTTTGTAGTATTAAGCCATCGCATTATAACCAAATGCTCTCTTTTTATATTTTAACCGTAAAGGCAAGTTTGAAAACATGTCATTTACTAACATGTACGGTGGCACAAAGGTGACATGTGTGTGTTTTATTTATCTCGTGCGCACGAAAAACTATGTCGTTGCCATGAGTAACTACTCATGGCCACGAGTTACTAAGTAGTGGCCACGAGTCAGTTTAGTCGTGGGAACGAGATAATCTGTCGTGGCCACGAGTAACTATGTCGTGTCCACGAGATAGTTTAGTCGTGGGAAGGAGAAACTATGTCAAGACCACGAGTTAATAAGTCGTTGGAACGAGATAAATAACTTGTGGGAACGAGATAGTATGTAATGTAAAGTCGTGGGAACGAGGTACTTTTTCGTGGCCACGAGTAACTAAATCGTGGGCACGAGATAATTATCGTGGGAGTGAGATACTATGTCTTGGCCACGAGTAACTTAGAGGTGGCAAAGAAATAGATAAGTCGTGGGAACGAGATACTATGTCGTGGCCAAGAGTTACTAAGTCGTGGCCACGAGTAACTAAGTGATGACACGAGATAATGAACTTTGGGCAACGAGATACTATGTCGTGGCCACGATATACTATATCGTGGTCACGAGTACATGTAACTAAGTAATGTCACGAAATAGTAAAGTCGTGGGAACTAGATACTATGTCGTGGCCAGGAGTTACTAAGTCGTGGGCACGAGATAATTAAGTCTTAGGATAAGTTATTATGTCATGGCCACGAGTAGGTAAGTAGTGGCCACGATATAGTGAAGTCGTTGGAACGAGATACTCTGTCACGTGGCCACGAATTACTAAATCGTGGACACGAGTTAATTAAATAGTGGGAACGAGATACTATGCCATGGCCACGAGTAACTAAGTCGTGGCCACGAGAAAGTTTAGTCATGGGAACGAGATACTATGTCAAGGCCATTAGTTACTTAGTCGTTGCCACGAGATAGTTATTTCGTGGGAACGAGATACTATGTCGTGGCCAAGGGTAATTTAGTCGTTGCCACGAGATAATAAAGTCGTGGGACGAGATAAATAAGTCGTGGGAACGAGATACTATGTCGTGGTCACGAGTTTTCGCGTGGCTTGGTCATTTTTTGCACCGGCGATTTGTTCTTTCTCTATGTAAATTTCAGAAAAAAAACATCATTTTCACGAGCATACCGTTAAAAAACATTTGACCAATTCCAATGCAATTTCAATTTTGAACAACTTACGAGGTTCTTACAAAGGCCTAAAGTCCTAAACAAAGCGATATTTCCAGGATATTTCCTCATGGCATGGTCATTTTTTGCACCTGCGATTTGTTCTCTCTGTAAATTTCGGAAAAAAACATCATTTTCACGAGCCTACCGTTTAAAAACCATTTGACCAATTCCAATGCAAATTCGATTTTGTACAACTTAAGAGGGTTTTCTTTGCACACACAAAAGTCTTAAGCCCTAACCCAAGCAATATGTCCAGGAGATTTCCGCATGGCTTGGTCATTTTTTTGCAGCACAGGCGATTTGTTCCTTCTCTATGTAAATTTCGGGAAAAAAACATCATTTTCACGAGCCTACCGTTTAAAAACGATTTGACCAATTTAAATGCAAATTCAATTTTGTACAACTTAAGAGGGTTTCTTTGCACTTTCAAAGGCCTAAAGCCCTCATCCAAGCAATATTTCCAGGAGATTTCCGCATGGCTACGTCATTTATGCACCGGCGATTTGTTCTTTCTCTATGTAAATTTCGGGAAAAACATCATGTTCACGACCTTACTGTTCAAAAACCATTTGATAAATTCCGCTACAAATTTGATTTTGTACAACTATGGAGGGTCTTCTTTAC